TGGTGAGCGCTGTGAATTGTGTAAGACTGTTGAATCACACACCTGTACCTCTGAAACAAATAATACATTATATGTTAAAGAAAAAAAAAAGAAGATAGCAGGAGGGGAAGAATGAAGGGGAAATCGGAGGGGGAGATGAAGCATGAGGGACTATGGACTCTGAGAAACAAACTGAGGGTTATAGAGGAGAGGGGCTTGGGGGGATGGGTTAGCCTGGTGGTGGGTATTAAAGAGGTCACGTTCTGCGTGGAGCACTGGGTGTTATATGCAAACAATGAATCATGGAACACTATATCAAAAACTAATGATGTCATGTATGGTGATTAACATAACATAATAATAAAAAAAATAATAATAATATGCACCCAGGAGTGGAAGAGACAGCCTCACAGTTTGAAAGAAGACACTGACATTGGCATTTGGCATTAGGTATTAAAAAAAACTGTGATTTCTAAGCTGCCTTCCAACTTAAAAGATTGGGTATTTTTGTGTGATGACTATCACAGATTAATGATTTGTTTGATTAATAATATTTCATTTAGCACTTATGTGGCAAGTCCCATGTTAAGCAATTGATATGTATTATATACCTGAGTTCTCACACAACCCTGTGAAGTGGATTCTGGTGTGTCCTCTTTTACAGATAAGGAAGATGAGATTTAAAAAGGTTAAATGAATTGCCCAAGTGAGCTGCAGAACTATTTGTGGGATTCAAACTCACATCTAATTCTAGAGCTCATAGCCTTAATTTGCTTAGTTTGTTATACTAACTCCCCTGTGACTCACTTATTAGTTTAATAACAAATGATAGTGTAGTGTATCAAAATAATGCTTGTTGTATCTGTCTTTATAGGAAAACTAGACTTTTCTAGCTGATGCTGTAGTTGAAATATATAAATGAGATCCCTAATTTTTATAGTTTTGAAAGGCGATATAGTATTAGAGTCAATTCAGTTCTTTTAGGAATTCTGATAACCAGTTTCTCTTAACAAGTCAAATGCCTTTTTTCAAGATTTAAATCATTCTTGTGTATAAATGTGTAAAAAAATAGTTTATGTATAACTGCAAAAAATATTGACTTTAATACTTGGTTATTCTCTATTCAGAAGGAATTTTGCAGGTTTACCAGTTACATTTTACTTGATTAGAGATGTACCTATTAAATTCCTAAGTGATAGTGCTGCATTTGTGGTTGAATTGTGGTCTAAATTTGAATATCCACTGATGAATATTTGGAAATTTTATTAAAATTTACCATTTCTAGAAAGTTGTCAAGTTTAACAGTGAATGTTTTTGTTTAATTCTAGGGGGAAATTTGCAGTGGTGAGGAAATGTATAAAGAAAGATTCTGGAAAAGAATTCGCAGCAAAGTTCATGAGAAAAAGAAGAAAAGGTCAAGATTGTCGGATGGAAATAATTCATGAGATCGCAGTTCTTGAACTAGCACAGGACAATCCATGGGTCATTAATTTACATGAAGTCTATGAAACTCCATCAGAAATGATCTTAGTCCTGGAATAGTAAGTATTGTTTTCCTTAGATAAAGTTTGTTTGATAGTCCACACTTTATAGGATGCTAGTCATCTGTGGTATGTGTTGCAGCCTGGCTCTGGAAATCTGAAGATTTTCCAGAACTTTTTCATGTGTTTCTCTTTAATTTGGAAAATACCAGATTAATAAGAATGCATGTGTATTAGATTTTTTGTTTTCATTCTTTAATGAAATTCTTCTGATAGTAAAGTTCTCTTATGTTCTTATTAGAGGCATTCTTCAGAAAGTAAGTGATAACATGGTGATATTAAAATAAGAGACATGTTACAATCCCTTACATGTTCATATAGTCTGAGTTAATAATCTCCTTTCTTTCAGAAACAATTGTTTTGATTCATACCATGTTTTCATTTGAGTTAAGTAGAGACTGTATAGGAAACAGCTTTGGAAAATGAAGTTTCTTCTTCTTAAGAAATCCTGTTTTCCTCTAGTGGAGGGCAGCTCCAAAGAGTTGTACAAAATGGACAGTTTTTCTAGGAAGGAGGGTGTGGCAAAAAGTTATTAGCAAAAGAAAAGAAAGGATTGTTTCAGGCAAGATCACCTTCCCTTGTGGGAAGGGCAGGGGGTCTTATTAGGTGGATTACCTCATCTTCTTTTGGGGGGATGGGTGGGGCCCATGTGAGATTCCTCACTGATGTTGGTCAGAAATTTTCTGACTGACTGGTTAAGACAGACTTCTGGGGGCGCTTGAAACTGCAGTTAGCGTAGGTATTAAGCCCCAGTTTGGGGATTTGGTCTAAGTGATACCATTTTGGGCCTGTGCTTTTCTTTTTAACAGATATGAAGAGAAATTCCACATAGACATACATATATATAAATGGCCTATATGTACATGAAAAATATTGATTCTTATGATTTTTATAATGTAAATTTGAAAATAAGTTTTCAGTTTCCCCTTATAAGAGTGGCAAAAATCATAAAGAAAAAGTGATATTCATGGGTTGAACCATCGGATTTATACTACAGGTGGGAGTATTCATTGGTGCAACTTTCCTGGAGGACAGACTGGAGTTATGTATCAAAAATTAAAAAAAAAAATAAAACCCACAACACTCTTTAATCCAGCAATTTCACTTACATATTTTTTCACAAGGCAGTAATCGGGCAGTTGGGCAAAGATGTGTTAGAAAATATTTAGTGAATTTTTTTTTTTAATGTAGCAAAAAAGAAATAACCTAACTGTTTTATAGAAAGGGGTTGGTTGGTTAAGTAAGTGGTAATGTCACAAAGTGAATTACTGTGCGGTCATTTAAAAAAAGCTAAGGTGGATCTAAATGTTTCAACATAGTTTTTTTTTTAATATTGTTAAAAAGAAAAGTTAAATGTGTGTAGTATTGTTTTTGAAAAATTTAAAAATTTATAGAAAGCAAATTCTGGATGGCTAAAATAGTGGCTTCCTCTTGATACTTAAGAGCATCATGTTCATAAATTTTAATTCCGTAATTTCACTTCTAGGAATCCCTTCTAAAGGAATTATAAAATGTGAACAGTGAGAAGTACAAAAGTGTTTCCCACAGGGTATTTTTAATTATAATCGGAAAAATATTAAAAATGATGGGACGGGTAACAAATGTAGTGTATGTGGATCATACCTGAATAAAGTTGTTTTCTAACTTAAAAAAAACAAACAAACCTGGTTTAGGAATCTCATATATAAATGCCCTGCCTACCTAGGTTTTGGGTTTCCAGTTTGTTTTGGAGAGGGTCAAGGCAGAATTGGAAGTTGATTCTAGAAAAGACTTTGTGAAGTGTTATTCTCTGACCAGATTCCTGTCCTGTTCTCACCAAACCTGCTCTTCAGCCTTTAATCCTGAGCTCTTCTCGGGTCCCCCGTCTTTCAGGCAGCCCCTGCCTTTTTTCTTCCCCGGGATTCCCTTTCTTCTTCGGGAGTTGGTTCGGCTGAGCTGTGGCCAGCGCCTCGCATTATTTCCTTCTTCCTCCTCGTCTTCCTCGGCAGGGCCTTCTGCCAGTTTGGAACCCCAGCCTGTGCTGCCTCCTGCACACTCGGGGGAAGATTTGTGTCACCTTTGACCTGCTTTTGCTGTCGTTGGGTCCTTCTTTACCTAATCTCTCATTCTTTAATGTGTCGTCCCCACCCCTCCCCCTCCCCCCCCCCCCGCCAGCATCTACTTCCTGCGTGGCCACTTCCCATCGTTTCTCAGCTACCTACCAGCAGGCACCCTCCGTCAGCGTCCCTCACCCCTTCCCTTCTGTTCAAAGTTGCCGCTGCTTAACTCTGAGGCCGAGACCGTAACTTGGGCTCTTTAATTCTCTTCCTTCCTCTTCTAGGGCCATTGTTTTGTCTTTAAATCAGTTCGCTGACCTCTGTCAGCTTTTCAGCCCCTCTTCCAAGGCGGTTCTTTTCCTGCCTTCCCGTGTTGCTCTCTCTCTTATCCTCAAATTCCTTTTCCTCAGCTTGGACTGTCTTTAAGCCTTGGTCCTGGCTTGCTCTTTCCTTCACTGCTGTACTTTTTAAAGGAGCAGGCTGAATTTACAGCTTTCCTCACCCTCTGGTCCGTTTTGCGCGTCGCCATTACTCTTCATGCTGCCGCACCTGCTCTTCTCAAACCCCGTTTGCCAAAATCTGTCTCCTCTTTTTAGTGTTCACTCCACTTCTTACTCTCTCTAAACACTTTATTATACCTTCCTTCTTGAAATGATGTTCTTTCTTGGCTTTCAGGGCCCTCTTTTTTTTGTTTTTTAAATCTGTCACAGCCTCTTACCCTGCTACTGTATGAACACAAGTGCTCCCCAGAGCTCATCAGTGTTGTTCTTGTAATATATTTATGTTCTGCACATTTACTCTGATAACAATCTACGTTTGTGGCTTCAGCTATTATTTACATGTGATTTTTTCCAAATCTTTGTCTCCAACCTTGGACCTTCTAAGTTCTGACTGCCTACTGCATATCTCTGTATCCAGCCACACATCATTATCAATTCAGGACCAATATGTATGCACTCCTGCATTGCCCTGATAATGCCTGTTTTTCTCTTGTTGCCCATTTCCATTTTTTCTCTTGTTGCCCATTTCCATTGTTATCCCCATTGATTTCATAGCTCAGGCTAGAAACCTTGACTCTACCCTCGTTTCACTTAGCTCCTTTAAAAGCGCGTATATAATAAATTACCACGTCTTCCACTTAAGCCTCAGCCCTGCATCCCTTTTTCTTGGTCCTTGCTGTTTCTCCTCTGTTTTGGGTCCTCATTATGTCTCCCATGGACTCTCAGTAGCTTCTGGGCTGATCACCCTGGCTTCAATTCTAGGGTGTTCCGCAAGCTTCTGTTGGGTAACTAAGACATAGATGTGGTGATATTATTCCCTTGCCTAGAAATCTTTGGTGGCTTCTTTGGATTCGGTGATCAAGGTTTTAGAACCACACATCAATATGATTTGGCTAAAAATGTGTTCTACTTTTTGTTTGAAGGGAAAGTCTTAGAAATAAATTTTTAGATATCGAGATATCAAAATTCTTGGCCACATCCATAGATTGTTGTTAGGGAAACGGGCAGGTTTATGTTCACTGTGTCACTAATGCATTTCACATACACTTAAGTGTCCTCCATATGCACGAGGTGCTAACAGGTGCTGGTGGTATGAAAGTAAAAACAGCATAGCCTCTTCCCTCCAGGTGCTACAGGTTTAGTGAAGGAGAGAAAAATGATTGCAGCAGTGTTGGTGTTTTACTAGAAATGCTTGCTAGTTGCTGTGGGAACACAAGGTATAATATTCGTGTTAAGAATTTACTGTGTGCCAGGCACTATGCTAAGTCTTTCAGCCAGCTTTGTATAAATTATCTATATGCTTTATATACATTATTTGTTTTATTTTTAAAATTTTTTCCAGCTTTATTGAGATATAGTTGACATAAAACATTTTGTAAGTTTGAGGTGTAGAATATGTTGATTTGATTCCCTTATGTATTGTGTAATGATTACCACCAGAGCATTAGCTAACACCTGCATCAGGTCATATAATTACTTTGTGTGTGTGTGTGTGTGGTAAGAACATTTAAGATTTACTCTCTTAGCAACTTTCAAGTATATAATACAGTGTCATTAACTATCACCACTGTGCTGTACATTAAATCTCCAGAACTTACTCGTCTTGTAACTGGAAGTTTGTACCCTTTGACCAATATCTCTCCTTTTCCTCCACCTCCCCACCCACTGGTAACCACCATTCTAGTCTCCCTTGCTAGGAGCTTTGCTTTTTTTAGATTCCACATGTAAGTGGAATATGTTTCTATGGCTGAATAATATCCCATTATATGTATAACATCTTCTTTGTCCATTCTTCCATTCATCCATTCATGGACGCTTAGGTGTTTTCATGCCTTGGCTATTGTGATTGATGCTTCAGTGAACATGGGAGTGTAAATCTTTTTGAGACTCTGTTTTCATTTCTTTTGTATAGATACCAGAAGTGGGATTGCTAGATCATATGGAAGTTCTATTCTTAATTCTTTGATGGACTCCATACTGTTTTCTTTTTTTTTTTTAAAGATTTTATTTGTTTGATAGAGCGAGAGAGCAAAAACGGGGAGCAATAGGAGAGGGAAAAGCAGGCTCCCCACTGAGCAGGGAGCCCCACGCAAGACTCTGTCCCAGGACCCTGGGATCATGACCTGAGCCGAAGGCAGACGCTTACCGGACTGAGCCACCCAGGCGCCCCCATACTGTTTTCCGTACTGGCTGCACCAGTTTACATCCCCACTAGCAGTGCCCAAGGATTCCCTTTTCTCCACATCTTTGCCAACACTTGTCTCTTTTTGATGATAGCCATCCTAACAGGTATGAGATGATACCCAATTGTGGCTTTGATTTGCCTTTCCCTGATGATTAGCGATGTTGAGAACCTTCTCATGCACCTGTTGGCCATTTATATGTCTTCTTTGGGAAAATGGTCTGTTTAGTTTCTCAACCCATTTTTTTAATCAGATTGGTTGCATGAGTTCTTTATATACTT